CCATTCCCTCAAAGGATTCTCCTGCAGAAGTCCCAGATTGATATTGTGGAGAACGCATTAGAGTTCTACACAATCATCAATCTGGCTCTTGCCAGGTTAGGCGACAGTGGCTCAGTTGGTAAAGCATTGACCTTTGAGCCTGAAGGTTCAATCCCCCCACCAGACCTACTCCAACTTGCTCCCACTGATGTCTGCTGTCGGTGTGTCCCTGGGCAAGACTCTTAACCCCACTTCACTCAAAGCCCCCGTTGTAACTTCTTGATGATGGAGCAGCAGCCAACTTCCTGTGGACCCACCACCTGTCTGAGCATCAGCGATGGACTGGTGCTATGAACATTGGGTGGCAGCATTCCCACCCCCCCCCGACCCAGATTAAAGTGTAGACGAATGAATGAACTGATCTGTTTTCGCAATTGAACTATACATAAACATTTAGTGTAGGTCTAATCTATTAAGTCACAACTATAATCTTGTGTTACCTCCAGCTGTGATTACATAAACAGGCCCGACGGAAAGCACTAGCACTTCAAAGTGTTGACCTCAAGGGCGTTTTCCATTCACTGCTTTTTGATGCTCCGAACACAACGTACTGCTAGACAAACCCCATCTGACATTGAAACCTGCGAGTCGGAATTGACGAGGCACTGCAGACACGTTTGATTTTTCACCCAACGCAATAAAAACATAACCCAAGGCCCCTCAGCGACGTTGAAGCATGGTTAATTTAGCAACGTGAATGAAATCATTATTCTACAGAACGCAATAGTCAAAACAACAGCTTGAATTGCTTAGAGCCGCTATGTTTTTATGGGTTGTGTTGAGACAAAGCCACTGGAGTTATGATTCACAGCCAGTGCTTAACATCCTGTTGTGTGATTTACTATTGGAAATATGTTCACGCTATGAGCTAATGATCAAACTTTCTCTCCAAATCTGTTTCCAGTTCATTATCTGTAAGACGTTGAGAAGGAAATTATGTTTGGATGAAATCATCTTGCTTTTACTTTTCTGTTTCTATTCTACATTATTAGATCAGGAGTCTCTAGGCCTGGACTCGTGGCTGCAACCCCCTGACCGCCTGGCAGCCTCTTCAGTCCTGCACCGCAAAGTCTCAGTCCTGGTTCTATAGCTCCAGTCCCCAAAGATTGTCCTTTTTTTCCCACTGTTTGTATTTTTTTAAATGTTTAAGTTGTTTTTTGCCAATACAGGAGGGTCTAAGGACAGCAATGATCCAACTAAAAACTGCCCTGAAATACAGCAACAAAAGCTGAAAAAGCCAAAACTCCTCCTCCTTTTAACTAGTAAGTAAGTAAGGTTTATTTATATAGCGCACATTTACAGACCAAGGTCACCCAAAGCGCTTTACAATGTTCAGAGTTCAGATATTCTACCAATCCTTCCACACACGGTGATGACGGAAGCGAGTTGCCAAATACACTGGCGCATCAGCCCCCAATCAACACCATCCATTCATCATTTACATTCATACCTATTGTGCATGTTTTTAGTGGTAGGGGAAACTGGAGCATCTGGAGGAAACCTACACAGACACGGGGAGAACATGCAAACTCCACTCAGAAAGACGCTGTTCCGACCGGGATTCAAACCCAGGACCTTCTTGCTGAGAGGCGAGAGTGCTATTCCCCGCCTAAACTACAGTATTTTTAATTGGAATGTTTTTAAGTTATCATTTTAATGTAGTAGTGTGTAATTCAAGTAATATGTGGCTAAAATATGTTGTATTCACTGTGAGCTCCAGCCAGTCTTCTGGGTTGTCTGCAGATGGGACCAGACTAGGCCTAGCTACTGTTTCTTTGATTGATTTGCTAAATACCAAAGGTCTCATTGTGAAGCTGTGACTGTGTGGAAGTGGAGGTGTGTCTTATCTCCTTCGATACTGCTTGCAGCCTGACCAAAGGCAGACATGCTCTGGAAGGAGGCTGGGCTGGATGTGCTCTTTCTCTTAAGACATGTCTCCTTGGAAAGGCAACCAAGTATTAAAGAATGCCTGAATCTTTTGTCCATGTGATTTTGTTAGGATTGACTGCAGATTAAAGCAGTAACAGTGGTAATTGAACCGGTTCGCTTATAAGTTCTTTAAAAAACACAAGTACTTTATATATTATGCATATGAATACCCTGAGGGAGTAGCACGCTCTGTGAGATTGGCAGTAGTTTACAATCAACTTTTGCAATATTAATCACTATGTACAGCGGTATGCAAAAGGTTGAACTGTGGATGGAGGTCAAGGCCCACTGAGGGTACAAAACCAATTTTGAGTTCCAATGATTAATGCTGATGATGGTGAAATAGATTCATACAAATAATGAAAGTGCACCATGATGTATGCATTTGCCAAATTTGGTTCCGGTAATTCTTTCTTTAAAGGACACACACTTTTCTCACTTCTCAAATATCACAGTGTCTCATATACAATATATTTAAATTAAATTTCTTTGGCAAACAATAAAGAAAATCATAAAAATTGATAGGGGTGCCAAAACCTTTGCACACCAACACCGTATATACAGGGTTAGATTCAATATTGTAAAAGTTTCAAGAATGTAATTGCCATTTGTGGTAAAAACTGCAAGACTAACCCAGTGTGCCGCAGATAGTACAATTTTTCTGTCATTTTTCTGGCACAATACCAACACATGGACAGGGTGAAAACTGTATCACTTTTGTGTATACCGGAATACAACATTTACAAATACTGGTATTAGAAAGTGGGTTTGTTTCCCCATGATTTCTACTCTTGAGCTTTGTTTGTCCAGCAGATAACATGGATCCGCACATGATAGGCGCACTCCCTGTAAACAGCTCCTGCTCTCACCTGCTGTCTGCCTGTCAAATGCCTCCCTCCTGCCTCCCTCCTGCCTCCCCCCTGCCTCCCCCCTGCCCGCCTCTTGTCCATCCATTCACCGTCTTCGCTCTCCCGCTGTGCTCTGTCAGATGCCAGCCTTAGACACACTGCACAGCGCGGCTACAGTCTCTCAAGCTAACTGTCACTTATTTTCCTTTGTGCTTCTTGTGAAAGGTAGGGGGAAAAAGTGAAATTTGAAAAAGGTGAGAAACAGACTGAGCCATGTGAGTCATGTCTTGTTCTCTAATGTTAATGAAGAGAAAGAAAAAACTAAATATTGCTGATTCAGACTATGGGTAAAAATAACAAAAAAACATGGAAGCATCCCTGTAGACCAAAAAAATATATACAAATTCAAGATTCATTTACTTTAATGGTACAATAGCAATAAAGTCAGAACAGGAGTTTTAGAGTGGAGTTTGCATCATCTCCTTGTGTCAGTACAGGTTTCCTCCAGGTGCTCATAGAAAAAGAAAAAAAGGTGCTTGACATATAGCCCAAAATTAATCTCAAACATACAAGAGTCAGTTTGGATCCAGAGTCATTTAAGAACAAGGTCTTTAGGACAAGGTACAACAAACAACAACAATATCTGAGTCTTGTTTACATAAAGTCCTTTTAAACCATCCCCCCTGCTCCCTCTGTTCCCTCTGCTCCCTCTTCTCCTTCTGATCTCTCTGCTCCCTCTTCTCCTTCTGGTCCCTCTGCTCCTCGGCAGACGGAATAGAGGGAGTAAAGGGAGCAGATGGAGTGAAGGGAGTTGCTTCCTCTGCTCCCTTTAGTCCCTCTGGTCCCTTTGCTTCCTCTGCTTCCTCTGCCCCCTTTACTCCCTTTGGTACCCTGCTCCCTCTGGTCTCTCTGGTCCCTTCGCTTCCTCTGCTTCCATGCTCCCTTTACTCCCTTTGGTACCCTGCTCCCTCTGGTCTCTCTGGTCCTTTTGCTTCCTCTGCTTCCTCTGCTCCCTTTACTCCCTTTGGTACCCTGCTCCCTCTGGTCTCTCTGGTCCCTTTGCTTCCTCTGCTTCCTCTGGTCCAGCCTGGGAGATGGAGCCCTGGCTGAGCCTGGTACTGAGCAGTGCCCAGCTGAGTTAATCTGTTTTCTGCATCAGTGACTTGCAACAAGTCGTCTCTTTTTCATGAAGTGACTGAGGATCCTGCAGCGGCCGAGTGGAGCTGGAGCTGCTGCTGTCAAAACACTCTGCTCATATTTGAACAGTTTTGCTGCCTAACTGTGATAACACCTCACCCTGGTGTTTCCCACTATTTTGAGAGTATCAAGACTAATTCCATATCAGTTTCTGATTTGCAAAAACTCTAATGTACATTTTTTACTAGTTTTTATGAGTCACATTACAATTTAGAATAACTTCACTTGCTGTGCACAGCATCAACATCAGGTTGAGTCTATAATTGAGTTAACTTCAACAACATTACACACTCACAGCGACTGCTGTGGTACCGTGGTCTCTGGTGGCATAAGTCTCCTGAGCACGTGTTATGGTGGTAATTAACAAGGGAAGTGCTGCAGAGGGCCCTGTGTGCTCAACAAAAGCTTAAAACCGAAAGGATCCAGAGCTCTGAGGTCACACCGTAAACCCCTCGACACACGAACAGACCCTCTCGTGACTTTTCATCGTTCAGAAAAAAACGCAGCTACTTCATCCGATGAATCCCACCCCGGCCGCAGTCAGAGAGAGCCAGGGGTTAGTATTGATTCACAACACTAATGCTGTAGTTATTAACATTTATTTACTCAACGATCATAAGCTCGCCTCTGCAAACAGTATCTGAGCAGAGATTGTACAGGATCAGTGACATATCAAACGGATTATCCGCAGGCAAATGTGTCTGGCAATCTGTTTATGTTTGGGCTTCTTCATTAACTCTTTTTCCATTACCGAGGAAAAGAAACTATTGTTTACGCCATCTTTCCATGCATCACACGCCAGCAGCAACAGCGGTGAGATGGTCCTCCCTGGCCATGAGGTGCCACTGTCTCCCCTCTCCATCTGTCTGCCCACTCTTCCGGGGGCTAATTATCCTAATCCCTGGAATGCAGAACGTGGGCTGGTGGCACACGCCTCTCTCCCAGGACAACACTGTTTTGCCTCCCAGTTAAAATGGGGGAAATTAATTACCGCCTGCCCTGCTGGCGGAGGGAGGAGGCGGCGGAGAGGTGCTGGTGGGAGGCGGGTCCCTGGCAGGTGTGGAGGGTGTGGGGGACCCCTCCAGAGAGGATGTTGGGCCCACGTCCGCAGAGCCACTGAGTGATGTTGCAGCAGCCTGAGGTGGGCTGCATGTCTCTGCATGTGTCTCTGTGGACGGCTCTGTTGTTGGACGCATGCTGACACAGAGGCCACTGAGTTATGCTCTGGTTATGACACTATTCAAATCAATTCAACTTTATTTATAGAGCACTTTAAAAACAAGACAATTGCACAAGTGCTGAACAGAAGTCTAAAAGCACAATATAATATAAAAACCTATGCAAGAATAAGAACTGCACAGAAACTCAACCCACTGAGTTAAAGCCAAGGTAAAAAGATGAGTCTTAAAAACAGGAAGTGAGTCTGATGTGCAAAGGCCCAGTCTGGCAGTCGCCTTTGCAGATGCACAACCCCCTCCCAGCTTCTTTCTGGTCTTTGGGACCACTAAAAGAGCCAGGTCTGCTGATCTTAGAACCCAAGTGTGCTCGGGCACACTCCAGGCCACTCGAGTGTGTGAAGAGAACACAAAATAGGGCTGATGTGATCACATTTGCTCGTGCTATTAAGAGTCTGGGAGCTGCATTCTGGATCAATTTAAGACTTGAACATTTTAAAGCCAAAGAAATATATGAAAGCAGGTCAAATCTAGCTGAACACATACCAAAGATATTTATACCAATGTATAAAACTTACATTGTTTTGCCTTGACAAAGACGCATCTTTCTCTATGTTGGTGAGTCCATGTTTCACGATCATCACAGTCTTTGGTGTGTGCTCAGCTATGGTTGACCTGCTTCCCTGCAATTTCTAATCTCCAGCACGATGCAATGATTAAATAAAAACACCTTGATGATGTGCCTTTATTAATGTATAATACAATTGTTTAAATATACTCATATATGTGTCTTTTATTATGTAATGTAAAAATAAGTATTGTGCAGGTTCAAAATGAATAAATAATTTTAATAAATCAAGAGAGCTCTTTGCAAATGTCTACATCTTGTCCCAACCCCCGAGCCGTCAAATTGGGTGTGAGTGAATACCGAATACAGCTCAATAGAATAGATATTTTCACTCTGTAACTAATTAATCCAAACCATACTGAAATGGGCAATTCTTATTTATTCACCCACAATCGGAAATGACATGATTTCACAGCTCAGCAATGCCATCACATTGTAAAACGCCAAGGGACATTTTTACCAAAGTAAGTTTTCATGTGAGGCATATGTTTTCACAGTTCTCTGGCACTTGAAAATAAACAACAAATCTGCTCTTGCAAAAGTGCTATTCATGAACTCCCACGCACACAAATGACAGCTTAGAACCTTTGCCAAAGAAAACAAGGTGAAAAAGACATGTATCAAAGTTGTGCACTGCGGAAATGATACTCTGATAAAACTCTGTAATGACTCTACACCTACACTAAAGTATTTATTCAGCCTGAACCCTTTTAATAACCTTTCATTCTCTCGTTATCTGGCTTGAGTTGTTCAGTAAGAGCTTGAACACTTTATAAATTAGAAAACTATGTCATGAAGGATAGAAAAAAACTCTTTATCACACTTTTATGGTGACTTTTATTGTATAATTTCACATTTAATTCCCAAAATTCACTGCAGAGAAACATAGTCTAAACGACCCACTATGTCTACATCTCAAATCAAATTCAAATCTATAACATTTATGGCAACCAAGCATGCAGATCCATGTCACTGTTAGAAGACAACTTTTAAAACCAAAACAAAAATACAAACCTATAGCAAAAAGGTAGTATTGAATGTGGTTTGGTTTAAAGCTGGGGTTTGTAAACTACCTCCATCCACTAATTTCTCACTCTCTGACAGTTTGGGTCATCTCTAGTTTCTACAAGCATGTATTTTAGGTCTCTGTCACATATTTAGATCAGACAGAAATGAGAAAAAGCACTCTGAATCAGTCAATCAGCTCTAGAGTTGCAAAGGAGAGGAAAATGTCCAGTAAATTTCTGTAATGTTTGCTCTAAATTTTCATGGGAAGTTAAGGTGGGGAATAACTGGGAACTACTTGTAATGTGGGGCAACAGTGGCTCAGTTGGTAGAGCATTGGCCTTTGAGCCTGAAGGTCGTGGGTTCGAGCCCACCATGAAACCTTCTCCACCGACTCCCACTGATGACTGCTGTCGTTATGTCCTTGGGCAAGACACTTAACCCCACTTTGCCTGAAGCCCCCGCTGAAAGATCAAGGCTATGGCATAGAGCGGCCATCCTCTTGTGGACTCACCACCTGCAGGAGGATCAGTGAGGGGCTGGTGCTATGGGTACTGGGTGGCATCTCTGGCCACCCCCCCGACCCCGAAATGGATAAAGGGGTAGAAGATGGATGGATGGATGGATACTTGTAATGTTATTCAATTGTATCATATTGGAGGTACACATTTGAGCCTGTGGCCTAAATTGTCTCGTGCTTTGGACTCAAAAGTGTGGTCCTGTCTTCTAGAAATCCTCTGTAAGTGTGATGAAGACATGTACAGGACCAGTAGGGGGCGTGGTCTCAAAAGCCACATGGAGCAGTGTGATATGTGAGAAATGTCATGGATATGGAAGTGTATTAGAATGGCATTTGATTTGTTTTAGTCAAGACTATACTATTTAACTGTCTTATAAAGAGCCAGCCTTTACTTTTGAAAATTCCCAGTTAATTCCTGTTTATTCCCATAAATTCCCTTAATTGCCATATACAGTTTTACAACTCTAATCAGCTCACAGCTCAAAGCATCAAAACACACTGCTCTCTCTCTCACACAAATATGCAAAATAGTCGTTTGCTAATAAAACTACGACAGAAGGTTACGGTCTGATTACTTTCACACGCCTCCTTCTGTTGGGGACAAACAACACATATTAGTAATGAAACACAAAGATTAAGATACCCCAGCTTTAATATATTATCATTACATTTTTTTTCTGATTGAGTCTGACACCAATCGGTCGAAATAAATGATGTTTACTCTACACAAAGGCGCATAAGCAAAAATTTATCCCGTCGACAAATAATCGTACAGACTTGAGGATAGCGACAGATTGAAGATATCAATTGTGGCTGTGGTTGAGAGACTTCATATAGGTTCACAACGACTCTATTAGCATATAATGAAGCATATGCACCGCGGACTGCAAAAATAAAATTGCAATTCCACGGTGTAATAGCCTCCAATACGCCTCAATGCAACATAACACAAACATCTGGACGCCACAATTGACTGCATTACGGCACAACTTATCACCGAATCGCCCATTACCCAAACAGACAATCTTGCCTTTTCGAGGGCCCTCATCTCAAGGCGACACAATCCCTCCCGACCTTTGCATGCGAGGCGGCAGGAAGTACATTTTATTTGACACGCGTCTCTCCTGACCCTCGATGCCGGGCAGGTAATAGGGGCCAAGGGGTGAGCAGGTTTCCCAGGCGATTATCAAATAGCCGGTAGCTCCTGGGTGAGTGTGCCAGGGGTATCGTGCTATTTCTCAGCCCAGACTCTGCACCTGTCTGAGGGAGAGACACGCAGACAGACCGCCCCCCCCAACGCCCTGGTGCTTAAACGTGACCTTTCCGACCAATCACGGTGCAAATAAATCGCTGTATTGCCAGGGTCAGTGGTGGTCAAGAGTAGAGATTAGATGGGAGACGAGCATGTACTGTATCTGTCTGGAGCGTGCAGCGATATGTGTCTCTGTGTTGTAGCTGCACTGAGACGTTCGTTGATGGAAAAATGCTTGAATTTTAAAGGTGAACTATTGCCTTTTCTGAGGGTCTCGGCTTGTCAGGGAACGCCATAGGATTCTCCCGGAGGAGCTAGAGGATGTGTGTGTGGATAGGGGAAATCTGGGTGTCTTTGCTAAGATAGCTGTCCCTGTGAGCCGGCAACGGATAAAGAAGAAGAAAATAGATGGATGGATGGATAGACAATTACTTTTTAAGAATCCCACGATGACAAGCAGATGACAGACCTCCACCACAGAAGTTCTTCTTTAAAACAAGCATTCCATTTCAACTCAATCATATGGTGACTTTTGATATTGAGCACTACAAAAACAGTCCAAAAAATTGTCTATTATTATTTTTGTCTATTACATGTGCAAACTTATGAATTCCATCTGTAAAATGTTCTCAAATCTCTGCAAAAAGCCAGTTTTCACTAGACATTTGTTTAGCACAGTTCATAGACAAGGCAAACCAAAGTACTTAATAAAACAAGATAGAAGCAATCCCCATACTGATGCCACTAGAGTGGACATGGACAAAATACTGCCTGCCAAGCACTTTAATCTGCAATTTATTAATTTGTTTTTAATAAATTGGAGCACCCAAAGGAAACCATATCACCTGGAGAAAACCGGAGCACCCAGAGGAAACCGGAGCACCTGGAGGAAACCTACAAAGACACTGGGAGAAGATGCAAACTCATAGGACCTTTTGGCTGAGAAACGGTGCCGCCCACATTCAAGGCATTCAAATTATAAATAATCTCAGTACATGAATACACAATCCTTCAGTGTATGCACAGCTAACCGTAAAAGTCTGCCTCACATTTTCATCTCAATATTGTTTATAACAGAGTGTGGCTATATTTTTGGAATCGCTGTGAGAATATCCGAGCGAAAGCAGGCCAAATTAAATCTGCTTGCAAAATTAGCACAATGAATTGAAACCGCTTGTTTAATACATGTTTACAGATGGTATCCGCAGACAGTTGTAATACCGCTTTAATATTGCATAAGTACGTGTATTAGCCTCGATTCGCACCGGTTAATTGGACTATTACTTTATAATCACCCAGCTTACATGGAGATTTCCAAGCAGCCAATAGAACTGCCCTTCCGCCGTCTCCAATTCCCTTATTATAATCCATGCATAAGCAGTGTGTGACAGCAAACGGTCAAGTGCGCCGGCTAGTGTGCAATTTTTATTCTAAGTGAACACTAGACAGGGCAATTTCTCTGATTAGCATGCCTCCTAGCAGACAGAAGGAACTAATTAGAGTAATCACCTGCTGAACCACACCACGTACTACCCCCAATGCTACCATTTTCAGGTCCCTACTTTGTCTCTCCCTCCAAACCAGGCCCGCAAACTTGATTACAGCGGATAATGACCTTGATGGTAAGCATGATGAGTGGTCACGGTGCGTTCGTGGCTCTTGGCGTACCGTTGGAATTCTGAACGCTGCACTTCACTCCCAAAGACTTGAACCCACCTTCACTTATTCTCATTAGGAAGCCTTTGCTGGTCGTTAGCGCCGTAAGTACCTTTAATTGATAGTCATTTCTCACCAATGACTTTTCCATAAAGCTGAGTGGGGCCGCTGCAGGTCAGGCTGTCGTTTGACCGGCCCGGAACAGGTTCAAGTGAGCAAGAATCTACCTTTTTACAGAAGGGATTTTCTTGTGTTTCTTTTGATATGGTTGTATGGAAATATCAGTAAAATATTTTTGTATGTTATCAGCTTTACATTACAACAGCATGTAAACAGGAAATGCTTATTGCTGGAAATAGTTTATAATAGCTTTCAATTGTCTGTCTCACAGATAAAGATATCAACAAAATATAGAGATATTATTATATTTTTTTGGAGTAAAAAGTTGTGCTATACTAAATATTAAGTTGTTGTGTTCTCCTCATTCTTACTGCTCTGAAAACTTGTGATGCAACACTGAAATGTCCTCACTGTGTGACAAATAAAGGCTGTTTGAATCCTACAGACACATGATTAAACCACATGAGTCAATACAATACAATACAATACAATACAACACAATGTATTCTTGTATAGCCCTAGGTCACAACAGAAGTCATCTCAGAGACTTAACAAAACCATTGAAATCACCAACACAGATCAGAGAATCAACAGTTAAAACACATGAAAAATATAAAGCACACACAGAAGAAAATGTCCATACATGTTGTAGAATACTAAAGTGTAAGCTAAATACTTAAAGTAAGTTAAGAAAAGTATCTCTTATACACAAAAACAACACATACCATACGGAATCCAGAGGCGGTTATCCCTCTCTGAGCTCGGGTCCTAACACAGACAATAGCTGAAAACCAAAGACCCTCTATTGTGGTTTTCTATTTCGATCGTGGGTTAAGTGACTTTAACTGATTGCCATCTCTTGCAGATCCATTACTTGCTAACCAGCCTCAGAGACGAGGAGCTCATCTATTCCCTCTGTAATCACCTCACCTCTCCAATTGACTGTTTCACCAAACAAGTGCAATCGTGAAAGCAAATTCAGCAGCGAATCTGTTACAATCTTGCACTGGTTTAATGAAATCTAACTTTACAATCAAAGAAAAGCGGGTGTTAGAATCTGCACCGGAAAGTTACACAGTGATACATAAGTACACACATTTTCAGCATTTCATAAAAATGCATAGTTTTATCAAGACATTTTAACGCTTTGAGTGTATTATTATTTCTATTGAGGCCAGAGCTGCCCTGGGGCACAGACCCTCTGAAGTGAGGCTGCCAATCCTTTCCAATCACAGATTCTATTTCCACATGTTTATCATTCAAACATCAGTCTCTTCCCTCGTTCTGTTTTACGGCTTAAAGCTGCATTACCTGACTTTACTTTTGTATTCATTACAAAAATTAAATCCATATCCATGCAGTGCATTGGGATATACGTCCTTTTGAAGAATAAGTAGCGCAGATTTGTGCTGGTGTGTCATTTTATTTTAGATCAAGTTTTCGTGCAACAAGGAAGAGAATGTGTTTATGGACCAGATTGTGACCAATCACAGCGGACCACTGGCCCCCACTTTCCTGAGAAAAGTCTGTCGTTAGCACAGACAGCTGAGGTAAACAAGCGGCGGAGGCTAACCTGAAACTTCCCGTGTCTTTTTTTTACCGGTTACTGCTTACTCAGCAAAACGGCCAAAAGAAAGTCTCGTTCCGTTGCGCTTCCCGGTTCTATCATTCCATGGTCACGCCATCCACATTCAGATGTGCGATCCATATTGTGAGACGTGAGCTCCGTAAACAATGAGCATGTGAGCACAGGCTGAGGGGGAGGGGGTAGTGGGGGTTGATAGCTTCGTGGGTGCGGGGAGGGCGAGCAGAAAGAGCGAGGCCAGCGCTCACATTCGAAAATGTCACAAAGTGAGTTAGTGCAGCTTTAACAAACTGAGCTGTAACACCAAACTAAAATAAGAAATAATCGATCCTTCTGCAACATCTTGAACTTCCATGTACGGAAGTAGTAAGTTATGTTTATTTATATAGCACATGTTTCACAGACCAAGGTCATCCAAAGCACTTTACAATATAATGCATAAACCTCAGCAGTAAGTTCACTTGACTTTGAAAGACACTGGCTCAAGTTATTTCTGAGTGACAGGCGACAGCAGCGTCCGCAGACCTCATCACTTCTCTCTTGCCCGTATCCTTCCGCCTGACCACAGGGCTCTTCTGAATCAGTCAGAGCCCATACGTCTTCAAGCAATCCCCCGTCTGACCCCAAGTCCATTCTCAATCTCGCCGAGTACACCATAAATCCTTTGTAGACTTAATTATTGCCATGACCAGCGGAATTGTTGTTTGACATGATGGGCTTGGAACGACATGCCGCATCTGTCAACGGGCAGTTTCTCCGAGATGGTTTGAGTGCGGGGAACATAATTGGAATTCACAATACACTTGTTCCTCTCACAAAATTTCAAATTGCACTTCAGAAACTTCAGAATGATAATGTCCTTGCAAACAGACCTATTAAAAACGTGAAAGGTGAAAGAGAAATAAACACGGCCACAACCAGTAATAAAAAAGCACTAATGTCCAAACTAAGGCTGCGGTGTCATGTTATGTGGACCCCCTCCACTGGATCATAAAGGTGAAAGATCACTGCGTCATTCAGCCAACTTCAGTTCTGGCAATCTAGGCATACAGTACATCGTTGTAAAGTAGAGTTTCGCTTTTCAGCCTGAGCCCGAGCAGGCCCGAGGCTCGACCTGAGTTCGGGCCGGGCTCGGGCCTCATTTGGCGCTCAGCTATCGGGTTTGTGCCGGGCTCGGGCTTCTTTTTTTAAAAATATATGTTTCTTTTTTATTATGATTATAATTATTTTTAAATGATTTTTATACATAATGATATGCATATATATATATATATATATATATATATATATATATATATATATATATTAATAACAATGTCCGTTGATTGACAACAAGTTATTAAAAAAAGTTAATATATTAATGACACCGTAACCAGTGTCCTACAGCAGCAGCGAGCCGTGAACGCATCATCCCCGTGTCTCCTGCTGCTGTGGTCAACAGCGAACAGGAACAATAGTAGAAATGGATCAAGTGGAGACAAAACAAATTCAAAAGTGGAGACTAAACTTGCAATTGGAAGGTGAGTGCGTACAACGGGAAATCAGATGTGTCGGGTTCTGTCGGGCTAAGTTTATCTTGAATAAGTACATGCATGTTGACTGAAATAAAATATATTGTCCCTATGGATAATGTACCATAAATATCTTCGGAATGGTTAATTCCTGGGTCCTGCTTTTGTCCTGATTCACTTCTGAGTCCAAACCTGAGACCTGGTCCAAAGAAGCTCATGCTATCTGGATATCTCTGTTTACAGGTTTTCAAAGTCAATATTAAGGCTCTTCTTCTGTGTATTTTAAAGAGAAATGAGAAAATGCAACAGTGGTGTTAGATACTGTCTCCAGCGTTCACAGATCACTGGAGAGCCATCAGTCGGAGCTGGCCTATAGCCTTTTTATCAGCAGACATTTTGGCAGGCGGCGCGCGACCTCCAGGCACGCGAGCAGCCTAACGATACGCTAATGTGTCCCATTACGGACGATTTGCCAGGAGGGGATTCTTTCAGTCGAGCACCGTGCTAGCGAGATTTCAGATGGCCACTTATAATGATGCGTACGCGCCTTTTCTTCCTGCTTCATAAAGGATACACGGAGAGGGCCTGCTGAGCGTCATTAGGAGGGACATTTACACTGCGCGCCTCTTATTCACACACTTCTGAAGAGGCGCGAGGCTGGAGCCGGCCTGATGAAAATTAAACCGTGGAATTGTAGTCAGAGGACGTCTCACGCACACGCTGACAGAACAGATGTGCGTGTGGCTCTTCAAGCCTGTACTGTTTTTGAAGTTGCTGTAAAAAGAGGATTTATACCAACAAGAAAAGTTAAACACATTGTTAGAAATACAGGGGCTCATTTAAACAAATAGTTGTGAGTAACATAGTGCAAACTCTGCATTTTGCATTTATATTATAACATGATTTTGGTACTATTTTATGCCACTGTACAATAACAAATAAATAAATCCAGGCAAAATGTTTTGGTGCCTATTTTTTGCTGGCCTTTTTTTCACTATAGACGTCAAAGTGGCAGAGTTGATGAATGATAATAATGGATTGGTTTTAGCACTTTCATTTCATTTAATTTATTTTCATTTCGTACATGCATAGTTACAAGACAAATTGTATATGTAAGTACACAACAGAAGCACCAAAATGAATAGTAATAATGTTCAGTTAACTTTAAAGGACACTCTGTCATGAGGTGGAATGAAAAAAGGAAATACAAAAGTCCGGACTGAAAATGACGTGAAATTGCATGAAATAAAATTAAATTCATGGTAAAATTAAAACGCAAAAATTCAGAACTAAAAACAAGTCGGGGGAAAACATGGGATAGACAATGGATGAAAAAGAAGAGGGAGTAAGTTCACAGGGAGACACCAGGCCAACGATCTGTATGAGGAAACATAATAAATCAAAGTTCAAAATAAAAGTCCACACCATGACACACGCAAAGACGCATCATGGCAATAAATGGCATATTTTATTTACTCTCTACACTGCAGTGATTAACTACTGCTGAAGTCACAGCTGCCCTAGGTCTGACTACACTAGGTCAGGCTGCACTACAAACACATTGGTTGGAAAAAAACTCCTCATCGAATTGATTTTGACGATATTGGTTGGATTGACAAAATATATTGGTTCCACCTTTTGCCCAAAATCATTTATCTAATTTATGAGAAAAAAAAAAGAGAAAATCTGGCGTGTAAAGGGGTAGACACAGAGCACAAACAAATAGCCAATCAAGAAACTTCCTGGAGAGCCAACATTTTATTTAAAAGAAAATAACAAAGATATCCTTGGCCTGAAATAACACATATTTCAAACGTAGGTCCATCATTTTGACCCTTAATTGTGTTGATAACAGATTATTCGTCTAAGTCTGTAAACATCTCAGTTGTTGGCAGCAGGTGCTCATGATTAAACCATATCCGTGCATTGTGCTCATTGCCCCAACTTGCGTCCCACGTTAGGAATGTAATTGGTGGCTTGGGGTGAGGAGAATAAAAATCGCAGTTAGGTTTTGTCATGTCGAGCGTGAAACATAAATTATCATGGTCCAGGAGGGGAAAAAAAATCACATAGCGTTTTCTGGCTCCACTTTTTGGCCTCCCCATTACCATTCCATCGACAAATTGAATCCAAGGCTGATTTGAATTGCACCACTGTATAACCTCTTATTTATTCATTGCTTTTCTCTCCCTACATACTATTAAATCCAATAATTCCTTTTTTCCCCACCACAGCGGCTGCCACAAACTGTGCGCACCAGTAAGATCCCCTTTCGCTGTTTTTTTCCGGCAAATAGAAGCAACGAGATGGAATCAGCTGGTTATTATTAACACTGTGGATTTTCCTCCCGCTGTGTTCTGACTTTGTTTTCAATCATTTGGATTGGTTATGGTTAAGCTTATGTTTTATTTTGCCTCTGTTCTTGCTGCACTGTGACGTTAACTCAACTCTATTCAGTTCATACAAGCAACAGACGTGGGCCAATGTTTCAGATTCATGCAGCTGAAATCTGGTACAGTCTTCCTGAGAATGTGAGACAGGCTTCAACTCTGACAATGTTAAAATCCAGATTACAAAAGATTTTGTTTAGATCTTCTCTATTTTTATTTATTTACTGGGATTATTCATGATCGTAATGCCTTTCGTTTATTTTTTTGTTTTGTTGCCGTTCAGGTTGTCTTGTGTATGATCTGTATGGTTCATAAAAAGGATCAATGAAATCACTATTGAAATCTCAATCCATCTATCTTCTTCCCCTTAATCCATTTCTGGGTCGGGGGGATGGCAGTCTGAGCTGCACCCAGTCCACAGAGCACCAGCCCCTCACTGATCCTCCTGCAGGTGGTGAGTCCACAGGAGCCTTGATCTTCCAGCGAGGGCTTCAGGCAAAGTAGGGTTATGTGTCTTGCCCAAGGACACAACGACAGCAGTCATCAGTGGGAGTCGTGAAGTAGGTCTCGTGGTAGATTCTGGAATCCATAGAGTTTGTTTGGCAGGGCCTACAATTTGGCTTTTCACTTCAAAATAAATTGTTTAGTCGTAAATTATGGATAATTTTTAAATGTTTAAGATCAGATTCATCATTTTTGAGTTTTCTTTAGCCGTGGGTATCATTTTTTTTAATATACATTACACTCCATACATTTTGATATTTTATATAAATCAGTTTTTTGCTGTTTCATGGTGTGATGCTTGTTTGACTTTGAATCTGTTTATTGTGAAGCACTTTGAATTGCACCTTGTACAAAACGTGCAATACACATAGATTTTGATTGATTGAACTTTAAAACTAGTACATAGATATCCACCTCTAGACTTTTAAGTATTGAACCGTGTATTTGAATAAGAGGAAGAGGAAATGATGAAAAAACTCCAAAGTGCATATGTTTCTGAAAGACGACACACCTGACCTTTAAGTCAATATCAATTCTTCCCAATCCAACCCGACGTCTTTGCCAAAGTTAAACAAAATGGCTGGCAGCTGTTCTAAAAATAAGGACGGAAAGGCTCTCCGATATAATGCCCAGAGTCACAGCTGTCACAGGCACAGATCAGTGGACACACCATCAGAAGATAAACTCATCGGACAGCGACGTCTGCTCGGCGTTATTCCAACAAGGAAACGTGGAAAATCAACGCTTTTTTTTTTTTCTTATCTCTGACGCAAGAAGTAATCAGGCTCACATGGCAGATGATGAACTCCTGTGTACTGATGTGGAGATTGTTGGTATGAGTCCAGATGATGATTGGGAATATTTTCAATGAACGCAAATGTCAGTCAGAGTAAGCTTTAAGTAAGCTTTATTTATATACCGCCTTTCACAGACCAGAGTCACAAAGCGGTTTACAATTGTTATTTTTTTTGGGCACTTGTCCTCCCACTCCACACAGAGATGGGAGCGGGGTCGCCGAACAGGAGGCGCATGCCAGACCTATTGTACATATTTTTAGTGGTAGGGCAAACCGGAGTACCCGGAGGAAACCTACGCAGACACAGGGAGAACATGCAAACTCCACTCAGAAAGGCCCTGGTCCGGCCGGGATTCGAACCCAGGACCTTCTTGCTGAGAGGCGAGAGTGCTATCCACTCAGCCACCGTGCCGCCCGACGCTGATTTCTGAT